CCAGTCTTGTTTCTACACCTTTCCATACTTCTTCTAGGGTACCCTTTACAAGTAGGTTTACCCTTAGCAAAGCAATCTGGGAGTGCATCAGACTGCTTCTTAGCTTTTCTCAAGACTGGCCTCTCATTTGGTTTAACTCTGACCTTCAGCTTTTCTAGATTTTTATTGTTGTTTCTTTTCGTTTGTATTTGTTTCTTTTAAAAACTGCTTTTCCTGTTATTTTAGTGGGGTTTCAGAAGGGAGCAGAACTGAAGTTGAGTATTCAGTCTTCATTCTTTACCTTTAAAGATTTTCACTTTAACATTGTTTAATAATAGTTTTTGAAAGGATTCTTCTTAATTTGATTTACTAAAGCATAGAATTACTGTGGCTCTTTATAGTACTGGAGGGAACTAACATGTGAATCAATCTGTTGTCCTAAAATTCCTTCCATGACTCTCTCTTCCAGTGACAGCTGTCCCCTTCCTTTCATAACCGTGCTTGGAAGAATCGTCCGCTTTCTTCACTTTCAGATGTGCCACTCATTTCTGAACATACTCAAATTTCTCATTCTCTCCTTTTATTCCACTAAGCTTGCTCTAAGCATGTACTCTTGGTACTATTTTTATCTAATTCTTTTCGTTCTTCTTTGCTGGATCCTCTTCTACTTTGCCATTAAATGTTGGTAATTCTTTTTTTTTTTTAATCTTTCTCCCTTTTCCATCCTTACTAACGCTGAGTTTTAGCTGTTGCCAGTAAACTGAATTCATACCCATCGTGCTGTTGTTCCCCCGGGCTTCAGCTCTGCATGCCTAACTGTGTACGTGACGCTTTCACCAGGAGGTCTTTTAGTCAGTTAAACTCAACTTGTTTAAAACTAAACTAATTATTTTCCTCCTGAAACCAGTACTATCTCTTTCATTTCCTGCCAAAGTGAGTAGATCACTGCCTCTTAGTTACTTAAACCGAATACGTAGGAGTCACTTTTTCTTCTTGTGTCCTATACCAACCATTAAGTCGTTTTTTCTTTTTCAAACAGCTTTATTGAGATACAATTCATGTAACATACAACTCACCCCTTTAAAGTATACAATTCAGTGATTTTTGATATATTCACAGAGTTGTGTAACCAGTTAATTTTAGACCATTTCACCACCCCAAAAAGAAATCCTGTGTCCCTTAGCTTCTCTCCCCCGATCATTTTACCCCTTGTACATACCTCTTTGCCCTGAGCAACCAGTAGTCTACTTTCTGTCTCTATAGTTTGCCTATTCTGAGTACTTAATATACATGGAATCGTATATCCCTTGTGACTGCTTCTTTCACTTAACATAATGTTTTCAGGGTCTGCCCATGTATCAGTACTGCATTCCTTTTTATAGTGGATAATATTCCATTGTATGAATAGATTGCATTTTATTTATAAGTTCATCAGTCAATGGACATATGGACTGTTTCTACCTTTTGGCTATTATGAATAGTGCTGCTGTGAATATTCACATGATAAGTTTTTATGTAGACATATTTTCCTGTCTTTTGGGTTTATACCCAGGAGTGGAATTGCTGACTCAAATGGTAACTCTGTTTAACTTTTTGAGGTACCGCCTGCCTTTTTTTTTTAATTTAAATTTTATTGTGTAAATTTCAGGGGCACAGCACCGCAAGTCTAGTTACCATCCATCACCATACAGTTGAAACCCTTCACCCATTTTCTCTACCCCCCCAGCCCTCTTCCCCTCTAGTAACCACTTATCTGATCTCTGTATCTATTAGTTTTTGCTTTATTTACTTGTTCATTTGTTTTTTGTTTTTGTTTTTTTTAGATTCTACACACGAGTGAAATCATATGGTATTTATCTTTCTGTGTCTGATTTACTTTACTTGGCATCATACCCTCAAGGTCCATCCACGTTGTCTCAGATGCTAGGGTTTCGTTGTTCTGTGGCTGAGTAGTAGTCCACTGCGTATGGATACCACATCTTCTTTACCCATTCATCCACTGATGGACACTTAAGTTGTTTCCGTATCTTAGCTATTGGAAATAATGCCTCAGTGAACGTAGGGTTGCATGTATCTTTTTGAGTTAGTGCTTTCGTGTTCTTTGGATAAATACTCAGGAGTGAAATAGCTGGGTCTCCCAGACTGTTTTGAAAAGCTGCTGTGCCATTTTACATCCCCACTAGCAGTGGGTGAGGGTGCTGCTTTCTCCACATCCTCACCACCAGTTGTTACCTGATTTTTAAAAAATTTTTGGTTGAAGTACACATAACATAAAATTATCATTTTATCCATTTTTAAGTGTATAGTTTAGTGACATTAAGTGCATACACATTTTTGTGCAGTTATTACCTCTACCCATTTCCAGAAGTTTTTCATATTCCAAAAACTGAAACTCTACCTATTTAACAGTAACCCCAGTTTCTGGTAAACACTATTCTGCTGTCTCTATGAATTTGACTATTCTAGGTACTTTATATAAGTGGAATCATAGAGTCTTTGTCCATTTGTGTCTGGCTTATTTCACTTAGCATAATGTCTTTAAAGTTCATTCATGTTGTATTATGTGTAACATTTATTCTTAAGGCCCCATAATATTCCGCTGATATGTACACCACATTTTATTCATCTGTTCATCCTCAGTGGACATTTGGGTTGTTTCCATCTTTTGGCTGTTGTGAGTAATGCTGCTGTGATTTGTGTTCAGGTGTCTTTTCTATCTTTTATTTTATATATATATGTATGTATATGTATGTGTGTGTGTGTGTATATGTTAGTCTTTTTGATTTGTCTTAAAAAATCTTTCAAATTTTGTTCTTTTAATTCCCATTGCTACCGCCTTAGTTTAGGTTCTAGTCATCTTGCATATACACTATTTTGGTAATCTCTGGTCTCCTCTCTGTTTCATCTTAAATATGTCATTCAGAGGTCAAGGAGATTATCTTTTTAAGATGCAGAACTGATCCTGTGGTTCCAGAGTTTAAATGTGGTTCAGTGCCAACTGGATAATGATCAAGTTCTTAACATGGCCTCTGAGGTCTTTCTGGTCTGGCCACTGCTACCTGCTTAGTGTTTTGAATTTCTAGTTCCCAGTTATTTCATTTGTTTTATTCATTCCTTTAAGGGTCCTAGGCCCTCATATTGGAATTCTCTCAACAATCTGTTAACATTTAAAATTTTGCTCAGGTATCCTATTTGTCTTCCAATTAATGATTTTCACTTTTTAAAAAGCATATTTTTGTATTATTGCAATTATCATGCTGTCTTACCACAATCTATTTATACTGTATATTTCTTACCCATCAGGCAGTGAGTTCTTTTCTGTCCTCTGTGTAGTCCTGGTACATCATGAATGTTCAGTCTGTGTTAGTTGAATTAAGAGAATGATTTACTTTTCAAATTGACTTTAAGAATCTCTATATAGGTGCAAATGTATCTTGACAATTTTAATCCCCCTTTTTAGGTGATTTCTATTGAACTATTTAGTAGGTAGAGAGTAAGGAGTTCAGTTTTTTCACAGAACTTTTTTTAAAAATGTGCAACAGAACAAAAAATTTAACCAGGTTGTAATTTTATTATTAAGCTATATTTTTATAGAAAAAGCCATTTAATCTAAAGTTTTATGATAGCTCATAGGTACTTTTCGTTCTTTGGTTGTATAGTTTTGAAATTAGCATTTATAAATAAGTTGCCATAGAAATTTACTTGAAATTTTGGCTGCTCTTAAAATAACTGCAGGGTCAGGAGTTCGGAAAGTATTCACAGCCTCTATACTTGTCCTAAAGTTCAGTTTATAAATTTCTCCTTTCTTTCTGTTCTTTCCTTTTCCTTTTTTCTTTCTTTTTTTTTTTCATTTTGAAGGAAATAAGCTTTTCCTAATTTTTCAGAGATGTTTGGATTCTTGTTTGTTTTGAAACAGGATATGGTTATTGTAAGGGAATTCAGTGAGTAAAAATGAATCTTTACATGAGATGATTTCCTTTTCTGAAAAGAGGCAAATCATACTGTGTGGCCCCGACTACATTTCTTTTCTGTTTGTTTTTTTTTTTTTTAATTGAAGTATAGTTGGTTTGCAACGTGTGTTAATCCGACTACATTTCTTTTGTGACATTTTTTATTGGTATGAAAATGCTAAAGTGGTAAGTGTATGGAAGATACATATACTTAGTAAAGTTGATTTTAATATTTTCCAGATGAGATTTGTATTATTTTTGGTAATTATTTGCACAGAACCTTGGACAACCAAGAAACTGTAAAATACTGGATTTCTTTTTGTTTCTGCTGTTGAGATTTCTTTTTTCTTTTCTTAGCTTCTGTATTTTGGAATATCAAGTTCCACTTTCTCTGCAAAGCCAGTGTTTCACTCTGAATTTGCCCTCTCTGAAGTCATTGGACTTATTACTCTGTCTGTAAAGTGGGGATTATGCTACTTACTTCTTAGAGTTGGTTCTTGCGAAGAATACACAGCAAGCACCTAGCGTAGTAGCTTGCCCAGATTCTCAGTGCCATAATGTGAGCGCATCATACTTGGCATAGTGTTGAGACATTTCTTCCTTTTCATATTTTAGCAGAGTGTTTTTAAGGGTTTGTTTGGTGGTTAGTTCTTATTGATTACTACATTTGTGGTGCTATAGCTTATGATATACCCTTTGTAACGTCTGATAATTAGAGACAGATGGTAAAAGGAGCTTAGTTGGCTGTTATATTAATTTGTTCTATGATTAGCTAATCAACCTCTAAGTGGTTTGGAATATATAGCGTATTACCAGACCAAACCGTTGAATTCTTTCATTAAACTCTTAACCATTTTCTTGCCACATGAATTGAAATTGAAACTTTACCTTCTGGCTGGCCTACATCAATCACATTTTCTTGTTCTGTAGATTTTATAGGTTGTTGATTTTTATTTTACTTGTTTTTTGAGGTTAAAAGAGACTTCTGTGGCAACAGTGATGTGGCTGTTCTCTTGATGATGAGTGGTCTCTTTTTAAAGTAATGACGCTGTGGTTTTTATTTTTCTCTAGTTTCTAACCGGAGGCCCTATCGACAGTACTACGTGGAGGCCTTTGGAGACCCTTCTGAGAGAGCCTGGGTGGCAGGAAAAGCAATCGTCATGTTCGAAGGCAGACATCAATTTGAAGAGCTACCTGTGCTTAGAAGAAGAGGGAAGCAGAAAGAAAAAGGATATAGGCATAAGGTATTACTGGTTTTTTTGTTTTTTTTTTAAAGAAAGCCTCTCAAATTATCTTCTTGGGGAAGGGGAGGGAAGAGGGAATGGAGGGTGTACAGGATCAATCGAAGGAAGAAGTATTATATTTTTGAAATGTAAGTTATGTTCTTTAGTAGTAGGATGTTGGTGAGAAAATTGGTAGGAAGCAAGGTTTTTTGCAAGGCTAGCCTTCCAAATATTTATACTCAAGTTTTTGAGAAGTGATTTCAGCTAACTTTTGCCTTGTCACTTAGATGGGACAGTGTAAAGTGGCGTGACCAGTCGTCTTCGGTTGTATCTGATGTAGGAAGAAGATAATCATCAGATGAAGTACTCTACTTCTCACTCGGGATTAATTATTTCTCTTAAAAATGAGAAAGATGAGGCTTTAAACATCTTTGTTATGTTTGTTGTTTTGACTTGTGTGTGGTTAATGCTTAAGGTTGCAGTTTCAAACCTGTTATGTTTTAATAAAAAACACTGTATTTTTGTTTCATTTGCTTGATGTTGGGTTACAGTTGGTTGAGTATAATTTTGGCTTATTTCTTTTGTTACTCTTCTATAGTCAGTTCTAGAAGGTACAATAATTCCTCTTATGTTGGTATTTCATACTTCTATGTACAAATACTTTTTAACTGTTTCATAAAAATTATAACCAGGATAGTTTAGAGTCAGAATGCAGTCCCTGCTGTTTTTAACTTGAGTTTCTTCATCTCTGAAACTAACGTTGATAATATGTACCTTGTAGAACTATTGTGAAGATTAGAAATAAATATTTAATATGTTATAAGGCTGATGCTCTGAGACAGCTAGTATGTGCTGTTGTGAGGATACCAGAGGCCAACTGCATCCTTTCTAATCCTTTGGGCAGTTGATGGTGGGAAGGTGTCAGTTCTTGTGTCAAGCCTTTAGCTGTGTAGGTTAACCCCCTTTTCAGAGAAGTTCACTAGGGCTTTCAGGTTGGAAAATTGATTACTATGGTTGTAGTCAGAGAACTAATGAATGTATGTTTTTATGTAAAATAAACCAGATGATCAGTTTATTGCTTTATAAGAGAAGGCTACCCATCTAGTGACCTGATTTTCACATGCTCAGCAGAACATCTGTTTCACAAGTATTTAAGTGTTTGTGAATATAAATTGATAGTTAGAACCTTGGCTAATATCTATTACATGAAGCCAGGGAGAGATTAAGAGTCTGGAAAATTAGGTGTATTTCACAGAGCCTCCATGTTCTCACGCTGTGAGGAAGTCAAGAAAAGAGCATATGTAATTTGTTACATATCAAGGGCGTATTGGTGTCTCTGGACCACATGATTAAGCCCAGGAGACTGCTTAGTTATAATCCAGATTGTACATAATGTGTTTAGAAGAATCTTGACTAGCCAAGGCCCTGGTGATAACTAGAGTTTCAAATTTCAGTTCTTCTAGGGCAGGTCTGACCTGTTCATTTCTCCAGTCCTAGTTTTCCCACATTTATCTTCTTTAGCCTTTTGCTTTTTCTCTTTTATGCCACTGAGCAAGTGCTTGGCCTTTGTAAACCAGGAAGAAAATAAACCTTTATTCTAAGGTTTGGGAAGGTAAGTAGGAATGGTCTGGTTATTCCTTGATTTAGTAATGTAATGTAGTCTGATCTATGGTCTACTCTTTTGTGCTTTTAATGGCAGGGAGAACGAGGGGTTTGTAAGATCAGTCTTTCTCCAGTGACAGATCTTAGTGGTAGAAGTAGTGCTGAGAATCCCCATTCGTTAAGCTCTGAGTGAACTGTGAGTGTTAACCACCTTCTGGTCCCGTAAAAGTTCCTTGCAGAAGTACGAGGCTTAGAAAAGCTTTTGATTTGAGAGGTGTTCACTGATCATCTCCCTGTTTCCCCTTCCGTTTCTTAGGTAAGTGATCATCTTTTCCTCTTTTTAATTTAAGGTTCCTCAGAAAATTTTGAGTAAGTGGGAAGCCAGTGTTGGTCTTGCTGAGCAGTATGATGTTCCCAAAGGGTCGAAGAACCGAAAATGTGTCACCAGTTCGATCAAGTTGGACAGTGAGGAGGATATGCCATTTGAGGACTGTACAAACGATCCTGAATCAGAACATGACCTGTTGCTTAATGGCTGCTTGAAATCTCTGGCTTTTGACTCTGAACATTCTGCAGATGAGAAGGAAAAACCTTGTGCTAAGTCTCGAGCCAGAAAGAGCTCTGATAATCCAAAAAGGACTAGTGTGAAAAAGGGTCACATGCAATTTGAAACACATAAAGAAGAACGGAGGGGAAAGATTCCAGAGAACCTTGGCCTGAACTTTATTTCTGCAGATGTGTCTGATAAGCAAGCCTCTAATGAACTTTCCAGGATAGCAAACAGCCTCACAGGGTCCAGCACTGCCCCAGCAAGTTTCCTATTTTCTTCTTGTACAAAAAACACTGCAAAGAAAGAATTTGAGACTTCAAATTGTGACTCTTTACTGGGCTTATCTGAGGGTGCCTTGATCTCTAAACGTTCTGGGGAGAAGAAGAAACTCCAACGAGGTCTGGTATGTAGTTCAGAAGTGCAGCTCTGCTACATTGGAGCAGGTGACGAAGAAAAGCGAAGTGATTCCATTAGTATCTGTACCACTTCTGATGATGGGAGCAGTGATCTGGATCCCGTAGATCATAGTTCAGAGTCTCATAACTGTGTCATTGAAATTACAGATGCTTTTGATAGAACAGAGAACATGTTACCTGTGCAGAAAAATGAAAAGGTAAAGTATTCTAGGTATACTGCTACAAACACTAAGATAAAAGGCAAGCAGAAGTCCCTTGTTACTAATTCACATTCAGACCATTTAATGGATTGTACCAAGACAGCAGAGCCTGGAACTGAGACGTCTCAGGTTAATCTCCCTGATCTTAAAGTGTCAACTCTTGTCCGAAAGTCCCAGTTGGATTTTAGAAATGATGGTCTTTCTCCAAAATTCAGCACACCGTCAAGCATTTCCAGTGAGAACTCACTAATGAAAGGTGTGGCTACAAATCAAGCTCTGTTACATTCAAAAAACAAACAGCCCAAGATCCGAAGCATCAAGTGCAAACATAAAGAAAATCCAGTTGTGGTAGACCCTCCTGTTGCAAATGAGGACTGCAATTTGAAATGCTGCTCTTCTGATACCAAAGGCTCTCCTTTGGCCAGCATTTCCAGAAGTGCGAAAGTGGATGGGCTAAAACTACTGAGCAACATGCATGAGAAAACCAGGGATTCGAGTGACATAGAAACAGCAGTGGTGAAACACGTTCTGTCAGAGTTGAAGGAGCTCTCTTATAGATCCTTAGGTGAAGATGTCAGTGACTCCGGAACATCAAAGCCATCAAAACCATTACTTTTTTCTTCTGCCTCTGCTCAGAATCATATACCCATTGAACCAGACTACAAATTTAGTACATTGCTAATGATGTTGAAAGACATGCATGATAGTAAGACCAAGGAGCAACGGTTAATGACTGCTCAAAATTTGGTCTCTTATCGGAGTCCTGGTCTTGGGGACTGTTCTACCAGTAGTCCTGTAGGGGCTTCTAAGGTCTTGGTTTCAGGTGGCTCCACTCACAATTCAGAAAAAAATGGAGATGGCGCTCAGGATCCAGTCCGTCCTAGCCCTAGTGCGGGTGACTCTACACTGTCTGGGGACCTGTCTACGTCCCTCCCTAGCTTAGTGTCCGATAAAAGAGACCTTCCTCCTTCTGGCAAAAATCGTTCAAACTGTGTCACTAGGCGCAATTGTGGGCGATCAAAGCCATCATCCAAATTACGAGATGGTTTTGCAAACCAGATGGGAAAGAACACAGTGAACCGTAAAGCCTTAAAGACAGAGCGCAAAAGAAAACTGAACCGCCTCCCAGCTGTAGCTCTTGAGGCTGCATTGCAGGGAGTCAGAGAGAGTAAGGGTTCAGAGAATGGCTCCTCCAGAGGTGAGGCAGAAGACCCTGGTAAAGAAGAACCCCTTAAATTAATGGGCCATTTAATAACTGAGGATGGTGCCCAATTTTCCAGTGTTAATTTTGACAATAAAGTAAACCAGTCTGATCCTGGTAAAATTCCTGAAAAAGGCTCCTCTTTTGAAAACAGAAAAGGCCCAGAGCTGGACTCTGAAATGAACAGTGAGAATGAAGAACCCAATAATGTAAATCAAGTGGTGCCTAAAAAGCGGTGGCAGCGTATAAACCAAAGGCGCACTAAACCTCGTAAGCGCACTAACAGATTTAGGGAGAAAGAAAACTCTGAGGGTGCCTTTGGGGTCTTGCTTCCTGCTGACCCTGTAAAGAAGGGAGATGAGTTCCCAGAGCAGAGACCTCCTCCTTCATCAAACATACTAGAGGGTGCACTGACAGATCCAAATCATGCTGGCTGCTTAAATTCAGCTGGGTTGAATGTTTGTGATAAATCCAGTGCCAGCATTGAAGAGATGGGAAAGGAGCCAGGAATTCCCAGTTTGACTCCTCAGCCTGAGCTCCCTGAACCAGGTAAGGACTCCTGACTGTGAAAGAAAGGGATTAGAGGAAATAATAGTGATGCCCTTCTGAAGTTGGTCTGTTTTCATGGAAGCCCTAAGTATAAGTTGGGAGGGAAGGATTCTCACTTGAAGTAAAGAAAGGGCTTTCTGTAGAAGGGCCTGAATTTTGAAGACCAGGTTTCCATATATTTTCAGAAATTGTTTTTACCAAGAAGCTTTTTTTCTTTTTTCTTTTGCTTTTAGTAAGTCTCAAGAACATTTTGTTCCTGCTCACCATTTCCTACCTTTTATTTTTATTTATTGGGGATTAGTTAGGTTCATTTATTAATTTTTCTTGATGGAGGTACCAGGGATTGAACCCAGGACCTCATGCATGCTAGTAGCCACACACTTTGCCACTGAGCTGTACCCTTACCCCCTATTTCCTACCTTTTAAAATCTATGAACTTCTGGAAACTTAATCTGGTATTGTAGATATTTGAGAGGCTCTGAGCCTAAGGTTTAAATCTAGTTGTTAGTCTACAGAAAGCAAATAGATTTTATTGAATATTAGGTTCTCTTGGACTACAACTTAAGGAAGATCTACTTGTTAAGTAGACAAAGGGGACGTGTGCTTTTGAAAAATTGAAAGTATTCCGTAGTACTTATTTCAAGGCCTTAGATGTCTTGCATCCCTTCTGGAATGAGGTTGTTTGAGAATAGTTTTTAAAAATCTGAAGTACCAGGGTACTTAGCAGCAGAAGGAAAATGGCAGAAGTCTTTAAAGATATTAATGTTACACAGTATTGTTATTGATGATAAAACTGATGTTCCTTAAACATAGTTTTCTCAATGTTGTTTACTGTAGTTGATTCTGTTTTCTAACAGCTTTGTTGGAATATAATTCACATGCTAGAGAATTCACCTTTTAAAGGTTTATACTTCAGTGGTTTTTAGTATACTCACAGACGTGTGCAACCATAAGCATGATTAATTTTGGAATATTTGCATCACCCCAGAGAGAAACTTTGTTCCCTTTATCAATCTCCCTTCGTTTCTCCCCAATCTATAGATTTGCCTATCCTGTACGTGACGTACAAATGGAATCATGATTTACGTGGTACTTTTGTGTTCGGTTCTTTTACTTAGCATATATCAGTACTTTATTTTTATTGTAGAAAAAACACATGAATTTACCCTCTGAACAAATTTAAGTATACATTACCATATTAACTATATGCCCATTGTTGTACAACACCATTTATTGAAGAGACTATTTTGTCCCCATTGTATAGTCTTAGCGCCCTTGTCAAAGGTACTTTGACCAGACGTGTAAGGGTTGATTCCTGGGCTCTCTGCTCTGCTTCATTGAGCTGTGTTTGTCTTTATGGTAATACATTGTTTTCATTACTGTAGCTTTGTACTATGTTTGAAAACAGAATGTGTGAGACCTCTACCTTTTATCTTTGTTTTGACTGTTCGGGGTCCTTTGAGATTTCATGTGAATTTTAGAGGGTTGTTTTTTTTTTTTCTCTCTCCTATTTCTGCAAAAAATGCTGCTGGGATTTTAATAGAACAGTGAATCTGAAGATCACTTTTGAGTAGTGTGGACATTTTTAAAACATTAAGTCTTTGAATCCATGAACACAGTATATGTTTCCATTTATTTGTATCTTTAATTTCTTTCAGCAATGTTTTACGCTTCGGTGCCCAAATCTTTCACATCCTTGGTTAAGTTTGTTCCTAAGTATTTTATTCTTTTTTTGTGCTGTTGTAAGTGAGATTGTTTTCTTAATTTCCTTTTTAAATTGTTTATTAGTGTATAGAAACACGACTGATTTTTTTCAATGTTGATTTTTCTGTTTTGCAGCTTTACTGAATTCATTTATTATTCATACAGGTTTTTTTGTGGAATCTGTAAGATTTTCTATGTAGGAGATCATGTCGTCTATGAACAGAGATCATTTTACTTTTTCCTTTCCAGTTTGGATGCCTTTTATTTCTAATTCTTGCCTAATTGCTCTGGCTTGGACTTCTAGTATTATGTTAATTGGAAGTGGCAAGAATGTGCATCCTAGCCTTGATCCTGATCTTAGAGGAAAAGCTTTTAGTTTTTCACCATTGCTGTGGAATTTTCATGTATTACCTTTATTATGTTTAGATAATTATCTTTTACCTTGCTTGAGTGTTTTTATCAGGAAAAAGTGTTGAATTTTGTCAAGCTGTTTTCTGCATCAGTTGAGATGATCATGTGATTTCTTCCTTCATTCTTTTATTTGTTTTTAAAATTTTTTGAGTCAAAATAGATTTATTTAGAGAGGGCACTCCATACACAGAGTACAGGCCGTCTCAGAACGCAAGAGAAAGGCCATGAGGCATGGGGGGTGGTTGGTTAAAGTAGAAATAGGTACACACTCCACAGAGTGCAGACTGTCTCAGGAGGTGAGGGAGCGAGACGTGTTGTGTTACATTTACTGATTTTTGTTTGTTGAACCATCCTTCCATCTGAGGGATGAGTTCCACTTGGTCATAGTGTATAATCGTTTTTATGTGCTGCTGTATTTCAGTTTGCTGCTTTGTTGAGGATATTCACATTAGTGTTCATATGGGATATTAGTCTGTATTTTTTTTTAAGTATATTTGTCTGGCTTTGGTATCAGAGTAATGGTTACCTCATAAAATGAATTTGGAAATGTCCCCTCCTCTCCAGTTTTTTTTTTTGAAGAATTTGAGATGGTTTGGCTTTAATTGTTTTTTAAATGCTTGGTAGGTTTCTCCGATGAAGCCATTTGATCCTGGGCTTTTCTTTCTTGGGAGGTCTATTTGTTTTTACTGCCTGTCTGCCTGTTTGTTTGTTTGTTTGTTTCATTTACTGGGGATAGAATCCAGGAACTCATGCATGCTAACCATGTGCTCTCACTGAGCTATACCTTCCCTTTTGGAAGGTTTTTAATGTCTGATTTAATCTCCTATTTGGGTTTTCTATTTTTAATGATTGAATCTGGGTAGTTTATCCAATTCTTCTAGCATATCCAATTTGTTGGCATGTAATTGTTCATAGTAGCCTCTTAAAATTCTCTTTTGTTTCTGTGGCTTCAGTTGAAATGTCTTCGCTAATGTCTGGTTTTAGTTACTTGTTTCTCTCCTACCCCTCCCCTCCTCCACCATCTTTTTGTAAAAACGTCTTGGTTTTGTTGATATATATTTTTTAAATTCTCTATTTTGTTTATTTCTGGTCTAATATTTATTACTTCCTTTTGTTAAGTTTAAGTTTAGTTTGTTCTTTTTCTTGTTCTGTGAATGTAAATTTAGGTTGCTCGTGTGAGATCTTTCTTTTCCTTGATGTAGGCACTTCCTGCTACAAACTTCCCGCCTAGTGCTGCTTTCGTTGAGTCCCATAAGTTTTGGTGTATTGTGTTATTGCTTCCATTTGTCTCAGAGTATGTTCTAATTTGGGGGTGGGAGGGGTTTCTTCTCTGACCCATTGGTTGTTCAGGCGTCTTAATTTCCACACTTTTGTGAGTGTTTTGTTTTCCAGCTGCTATTCATTTCTAATTTTATTCCATTGTGATTGGAAAAGACACTTGGTATGATTTCAGTCTTTTAAAATTTAAGACTTACTTTGTGTTCTATTATGTGATCTGTCCTGGAAAATGTTGCCTGTGTACTTAAGAAGAATGTAAGGTTGAGTGTTCTGTATTTGTCTGTTAGGTCAAGTTGGTTTGTAATGATGCTCAAGTTCTCTGTTTTCATATTGATCTTCTGTCTGGTTGTTCTCTTCAGTATTGAAAGCTAAATATTAAACTCTACTATTGTTTTACTGTATTTTTGCTGTTCTGTAAGTGTTTGCTTCATATATTTGAGGGCTCTGATGTTTTGTACATATTTAGTTTTGATTGTTTATGATTGTTACCTTCTAAGATATGTTTATAATTGTTTATTTTCCTGCTGAATTGATTCTTTTATCATTATACAATGTCCTTATTTGTCTCTAGTGATAGTTTTGGCTCATCTGTTTTGTCTAATAAGCCACCTCTGCTCTCGTTTGCATGTAATATCTTTTTAATCCTTTCAGTTTCATCCTGTGTGTGTCTTTACATCTAAGGTGATGTATCTTATAGACAGAATATAGTTGCATCTTGTTTTTTCAATCCATTTAGCCACCCATGTCTTTTGATGGAGTTTAACCCATTTACGTTTAAAGTAATTATTGACAGGGAAGCACTTATTATTGTCATTTTGTTCATTATTTTCTGTGTTGCAGTTAATTTGTCCCTCTCTCTTGCAGCCTTCCTTAGTATTTCTCGTTCTCTCTTTTTTTTTTTGGTATTGATATACTTTGATTCCTTTCTCATTTTATTTTATCTTTTGTAGGCATTTTCTTTGTGGTTGTCATAGGGCTTACATGAAACATAGCAGTCTATTTTAAGCTGATAATAATTAACTTCAATTGTATATAAAAACTCTACATTTTTACATTTCCCCATTCCCAATTTGTTGTTGGTGACACAAATTACATCTTTATATATTGTGTATTTATTAACATAGTTTTGTAATTATAGTTATTTCTTACGGTTTTGTCTTTTAAATTCAATACCAGACTTAAAAGTGCTTTTTGCACCACCATGATAGTATTACAGCATTGTGTTGGTCAGTATCAGCTATTTTTATATGCCTTGGGGTTGCTGTCTAATATCCTTTTGTTTCAACTTGCAGAGCTCCCTTTAGTGTTTCCTGTTAGGCAAGTCTAATGGTTATGAGCTCAGCTTTTGTTTTAGAAAGTATTTCAACTTCATTTTTGAAGGGCAGTTTTGCCAGATATAGTATTGTTGGTTGGAAATTTTAATTTTAGTGCTTTGAATATATCATACCACATCTGGCCTATAAGGTTTTCATTGATAATCTGATGTGAATTCCCTTGTTCTTGACTAGTTGCTTTTCTCAGTGCTTTCAAGATTCTCTGTCTTTTGACAGTTTATGCGTCAGTGTGGGCCTCTTTGAGTTCATCCTGGTTGGAGATCTTGAGCTTCT